ATTCTTTTGTGGAGCTGCATTCTTGTCTTCCTGGTGGCCATTTTATTTATTTATTTTATACATATGAAGGGTCTATCTGCATGTATACCTGTGTGGTAGAAGAAGGCATTGGATCCCATTACAGATGGTTGTGAGCCACCATGTGGTTGCTAGGAATTGAACTCAGGACCTCTGGAAGAGCAGTTGGTGCTCTTAACCACTGAGCCATCTCTCCAGTCCATCAGCAGTGCACAAGAGAGGCCGGCTTTCTCCCCTATGCTTCCCTTGCCTCTTTCTGCTTCTTCTATTGTTCTGGACCACACCACCCCAGTGGTGTCAGGAGTGACTCATTGCAGCTTTTATTTGCATTTCTCCAATGATTAATAACAGGAAAAAAAATGCCTGTTCAAACTCTGCCAAATTTTACACAGGGGGTCAGAGCTTTTCTCTTACAGTTGTGAAGCAAGTGGGAGAGAAATCCCACTTGGATCCTAAACTTACTCCAGCCCAGCCACCAGCCTAATGGTATTTGTTGATCTGTGTCGGTGAGCTTGGTGCTGAGCTGGCACTTTACATGCATCTTGTCTTATTGGGGGTCCCATAGCCCTGTGAGTTACAAACCATCCTTTCTGTTTGCCGATGGGGAGGTTGAAGATGTGTAAACAGGCAGTTACTTCCCTGGAATGGTGTTGCTGCGATGACGTGGCGTTTGCAGATAGTCTGACTGCAGACTTTGTGTTCAGCCATGAATCTGTATCTAACAGGGCATGTGGCTGGACAAGTACCTTGGTCTTCTCATCCACAGGTGGCACGAGAACAGTCAGTCTCAGAGGCTTGTCTGAGGGTTTTGATCATGGTGTTTTATCATAAAAACGGAAAACTAATTAGAACAACACACAAAAAGAAAAGAGAAGGAAAAAGGGGGAAGGGGCAGTGAGGAAGCTCAGAGGTTAAAGATATTTGTTGCCAAGACTGATGACCTGAGTTTGACCCCTGGAAGCCACGTGGTAGAAGGAGAGAATTCTCCTAAGTTGTCCTGTGCACTCCATATGTGTCCTGTGTTACACCTGCACAAATGTGCATATGCACAGAGACAAACGGACATTGAGCCAACAAGGGCAGCTCTGGGAGGCAACCCCAGCCCATCCCAGCCCTACACCCCTGTGAGTGCATTCCAGATGGATCTGCCTCCTCTTCCCTTCAGTTTCCCAAGCCAACACCCTTAACATCATTCCTACACATCCCGGTTTAACTCTTAACACCACCGGCCAATTGGACTTTAGGTCCTTCCTATTCTGATAAAAAACTTAGCCTGTGAGAGAGGTTCATTATCTCCCCTTCTCTTATGGGGTCTGTCTTAGTTAGGGTTTACTGCTGTGAACAGACACCATGACCAAGGCAACTCTTATAAGGACAACATTTAATTGTGGCTGGCTTAGATTCAGGAGGTCAATTCATTATCATCAAAGTGGGAGCATGGCAGCATCCAGGCTGGTATGGTACAGGCAGAGATGAGAGTTCTACATCTTCATCTGAAGGCTGCTAGCAGAATACTGACTTCCAGGCAGCTAGGATGAGGGTCTTAAAGCCCACACCCACAGCGGCACACCTACTCCAACAGGGCCACACCTTCTAATAGTGCCATTTCCTGGGCTGAGCATATACAAACCATCACAGGGTCCCTCTTAGATTTTCTCTGAAATAAATCTGTCCTTACTGCAGAGGCTCCTCCTCATCTTTCTTCTTAAAAATGTATTTTTCTTTCTTTCTTTTGTTCTTTCTTTCTTTCTTCTTTTCTCTCTTTCTTTTTTTGTTCTGTTTTGTTTTGATTTGTTTTAAGAAAAGGACAGCTGGAGAGATGGCTCAGCAGCTAAGAGCTCTTGTTGCTCTTGCAGACAACAGGAGTCTGATTCCTTGCAGCCGTCAGGAATGGTTCATAACCTGTAACTCCAGCTCCAGAGGATCTGAGCATTCACACATGTACAAGTAAAACATATCTTAACAGAAAAGGAGAAAAAAAATCTTCTTCAGGGAAGTGCTATCCCTTAGATAGTTGCCCTACTTCACAGTCATCTGTGGTTTAATGAGCAGCACTCAGTCTCTAGAGCGCCCCCTGCAGGCTGGTGTGAGCGTACACTGCTTATCAGCACCATGGTTGTCTCCAGCATCACCTTCACTTGACACACTCCAGTTTATTTAACTGTAAACAGTGAAATGTCTGTTTATAGGACTGGATCCAGACCTGAGGGATGGAGACAGTCTATGCATGGGGGTGTACACACCCCCATGCATTCACATACTTAACACACGCAGACACACACACACAGACACACACACAGACACACAGACACACACACACACACACACACACACACACACACACACACACACACAC